ATACAGCCTTCTCACTGACAGTCAGTTGAACCTCTGGTGTCCATCAAGTAGCCTATTTCTGACCACCAGGAAGCAGGCCAAACCGTTTTAAATTGCAGCATTCGACGACGACCTCAAATTAAGCCGCTCTTGTGCTTCCACTCGATTTTCACATAAGCAATTATTATTTGGATATGTTCAAACCGTCATGCGATGCTTCTTGTTAGTTTTGCCGTAGCATCTGCAGAAGATAATGTTTCCCATTTGATTCTCTGATTGTCACTGCTGCCAGGTCCTCGCACGGTATTCCATCGTTTTCAGCGAAGTGTGCCAGTGACAAGGTGATGATCATTTGACAGCGGTGCGAACTTTACAGACTACGAATATCCACTATCGAGAGTCTACTTCGAACATCATATTTCGTTCTTATCAGTCGATTAGGACAGTCACCAGGTCTGCGGTATTTCCAGGTGTTATCATGGTTAGCACCACATTACATGCTGTTTATGATAGATCAGTCTGTTTCAATGGGTAAGAACCGTGGGAAACTGCCTAACCGTTTAAGGCTGACTGAACTGCTCAATATTCTCGGAATTCTGCTACATGAGGGAAGTTTATCATCTGTAGGAAAAGAACGGTGTTCAGAAAGTCGACGCATCGCGTTGAATCCAGCGCTCTTCCGTTTTCCTGCACTAAGACGTACTGTCACTTCATGGAGGCATAAAAAAATTTGTTCGGCGTGTAATACTGAAAGCCTGAAGTTTTGTCTGCACAAAGAATCTTTAGAGATAGCAAATACTAACATTCGACTAAGACACTTTGCCTAAAAGTGCATAGAATGTCGTTATCCCTTAGATCAGATGTTGACTGGCACCTTTTGTTTATCGTTGTAAATTAGCACATTAATTATATGCATTACAGTAGCTAAATTTCACCACATTTTATATTGATCTGAAGCACCATTTCAAATGGTCAGGCATAAATCTGGCTTACTCTGCTGATTAGAATCTGTCAAACTCACATGACGATGACAAAACAACAGAAAGGTTTTATGCAGCAGACTTAAATCTCACGCTTCGTTCGAGCTAAACTAGTAATCACTTTGAAAAGGCTGTCTTCTTGTGCTTTACAGCGAATCAGCCTAACGAGAGTTACTCGAACAAACACAAATAGAAGAAATGACTAGTTCGCCCAAAAAACAACGAAAAGTTATGAATATGCCGTCTGCTCTACCTTTGAAAGAGCGCGTGATGTATAACAGATAATCTGACGAACCGCTTTATAGAACTGCATAATTAACAGTACATCACCGACGCTTCAACGTTATTTCAACAACA